AAAAAAAAAAAAAAAAAAGAAAAAGAAAAGAAAAAGAAGAAACAGAGGGGAATGAAAGGGTATTCCTAGCAGGTGCAGGGTAAGGGTACAGGAATCTGTGGCATGATAGAGAAGTATGACATGTTCTTGTTGGGCCACAGTATAGGATACAGGGTAAGGAAAGGCCAGAAAGAAAGCTGGTAAAGTAGTCTACAGCCCTATAGAAAATATTCAGATCTACTGAATAGCTTGGGAATTGATCTGGAAAGCAATGGGGTGCCACAGGGGAGGGTGGCAGGGTTAAGTAGGTAAAGGACACTGTCCAGATGTTGTCAAAGGCTCGCTCTGGTGGCTGCGTCCAGGATGGGCTGAGTAGGGGGAGAGACTGGAGGCCTACAAGCCAACAGCTTATCCTAAGGGAGGAAGCCATTTTCTACTGCCCATCCTTGCATTTGGCAATACAGGGGTAGCTCCCCAGCAGGCTAGGAGAAGTTCCTCCAAAGCTGAGAGAGTGGACCTGACTCCACCAGTTCTCTTGGCTTGAGGATAGCAGCATACAAGTACATTTTTGTTGTCTCTGCTTATCAGCAAATGCACCTTCCCCACCAGGGCCACCTCAAAAGAAACCCCTCACTGGGGGTTTGCACATTCACTGCCGACCCTAAAACAGACCAAGAGCACTGTGTTTTTCTGGCAAAAAAAAGTAGCACGGGATTTAGTCAAAGGCCTTAGATTTCAGCTTTTGTTCAGCCATCCAATAGCTTTGTGGCTGTGAATAAACCACATAAGCTTGTTGAGATTTAGTTTGCTTATGAATTAATAAAAATACCAAAATTTTCTAAAGTATGAGGGTGTACCTGGAAGCACTTCACAAGCTGTAAAGTACTATGTGATGAAAATCTGGTATATTTGTACAATGGATTATTATTCAGCCATAAAAAGGAATGAAGTACGAATATATGTTACCATATGGATGGACCTTGAAAACATGATTCTAAGTGAAAGAAGCCAAACACAAGGGCCCCATATTGTATGATTTCATTTATATGAAATGTCCAGAATAGGCAAATTTATAGCAACAGAAAGCAGATTAGTAGTTTCTAGGGACTGGAGGTAGAAAGGAATGGACTTTGTGTGCTTAATGGGTATGTGGTTTCATTTTGGGGTGATGAAAATGTTCTGGAACTAACAGTGGTGATGGTTATACATTATGATTGTGCTAAATGTCACTGAATTGTACATTTTTTTTTTTGAGACAGAGTCTCACTTTGTTGCCCAGGCTAGAGTGAGTGCCGTGGCATCAGCCTAGCTCAAACTCCTGGGCTCAAGCAATCCTTCTGCCTCAGCCTTCTGAGTGGCTGGGACTACAGGCATGCGCCACCATGCCTGGCTAATTTTTTCTATATATATTAGTTGGCCAATTAATTTCTTTCTATTTATAGTAGAGGCGGGGTCTTGCTCTTGCTCAGGCTGGTTTCGAACTCCTGACCTCAAGCAATCCGCCTGCCTGGTCCTCCCAGAGTGCTAGGATTACAGGTGTGAGCCACTGGGCCTGGCCTCAATTGCACATTTTTAAATGGTTAAAATGGTAAATTTTATGTGTGTGTGCATTTTATCATAATTTTTTAAATGCCAAAAAAAGTTACATGAGGGTTAATCAATCAGCCTGAGAAGTCATTGATCCTTGCATTCTTTTATACATGTATAGTCCAATCCATTTTTTGGCATTCAGAGAACTTATAAGGAGTAGGTACATCTCTAGGAAGAAGCCTGTTTCTAAGAGAACTAGGATGCCGGTGGGGGGAGGAAAGAAGGAGCTTTGGCCCATGTGAAAAGCTACCCTTCTGGATGGTATTTGTTTCGTAGATTGCCAGTTGTTCACTCTGTTTGTATTTAAATGAAAGGAGGCTTTGAAGTGGGAGCCGCCTCTGAACAGGGCTTGGGGTTCCTGCCTCTCATGGTAAAGTTCAGACTTGTCCAGATCCGTTTGTAGCCAGAGGTTACTGTTTCTGGTGGAAAAGGCTCAAGTTTTGGTTAATAATACATTAAGGGGAAGAGCAGGAGTAAATTGGGGGGCAAGGAATGAGTTCCTCCTGGACTTGGTGTGAGAAGCAGCTTTCTGATTTGGTCTTCAGAGTTTAGGAGTCTCATTTTCTATGGTCACTACATTTCATTTTATTATTAATGTTGGTTGCATCTCATATCATATGCTCCTTGGTGAAGAACATCTTTAAGTAAATGCATCAATCAATGAAAGTTTAAAGTTTAAATGAAAGTTTAAAGCCCTAGCAATGCCTTGAGGACTTGATGGTTATCAATTTAAGGAAAACCTGGACTACTTGAAAGTCCCTTGAAAGTGGCAGGAAATTCAATTGTAGTTGAATTTGCATATTTAGAAAAACTGCTCTTCTAGTTTCAGAGTTAAATGTTCTGCCAACCCACAGAAATTGCAAGTCCCAGTTATAGACAGGTCACAATCTGTCAGTTTATGCCGATGGTCTCCAAGAGAGTTAATAAAATGTAGAAGAGTCTGCAGTGGGCAGAAAAACAACAGCTCCTCATAAGCAACCATGTCAACGTGGTTTACAAACAAGAGTGGATAAAGTCTCAACAAACTCTCTGAGGGCGATAATTGTAATGATGGTTCATATCTTCACCCTATGTAATTTTATGGGAATTCAGAGTCTAGCCAAATAATAAGTTCCAGCCCTTTTTATCTGCCCAGTTCCCAGCACACTCCCGAGGTGAGGTGTCTGAGGCACTTCTCACCTTAACCTCTTAAAGCAGACTGTAACAATAACAACAGTAATGACAAGTTCTCGATCTGCACAGTTCCCTTCATTAAAGGAGCACCGAGAGCTTCAAAAAACACTCATTAATGGAATCTGACAAAGCTTAGAAGGTGGGAAGACTCCCTCATTCCCAGTTCTCCGGTGTCTAAGTGGAGACTGATTCCTACAGGGGTGTCAGTCTCTCTCAAGAGGCTTGAGGGGGTGGGGAAGTTGGGAGTCCTGGTCTACTATTATTCCATGTGACTTGGGAGTCTACAGTCCCACGTCCTGCCCCCACCTCCCGCGTTCTATTAGAAAGTCGCTTCCCTTGTCTGGTCCTCAGTTTCCCTACCTGCAGAAGGAGGGGTTGGGCCAGAAGATCTCCAAGATCTCTGCAGTCAAGCCTGACTTTGCCCCATCATCTCACGGTTGGGGAGCAGGAGGGTTCTCTCACTTCAGGGTTCCTTAGGACTAGTTGTAGAAGGGGGGGATTAGAGTGTTGCCATGGCAGGAAAAGAATGTCTGCCAGGGTCCTGGACAAGTTGGTGCTTCATGAGCACCGTTTGATGGGGAGCAGGTCTGGGGAGGCCAGGTGAGGCTCTAGGGCAAGCTCTGAGCCCCAAGTCTGCCTAGGGCATGCAGGGAAACAATGTAACTAATGTGAGGGCATTCCGCTGAGCAGTTAGGGGCATCCCAGAATGCTGGAAGGCTGAAGGGAGGCGGGTATCACAGCGGGAGGGCTCCCCGCTGCTTTGGCCCGTGAGCTGTAGGTCAGGTGGCCTCGTGCAGACAGCCTAAGGCTCAGACCTGAGCTTTGGGACAAATTCCTGGCCTCCCGGGTTCCGGGGACTTGGCCCCTTCAGCCTGTAGTAGCTGGCCTTTCCTCTATAGGTGGGGGGCGGCGGGCAGGCTCCCCGCAGACTCTGAGGAGGAGGGGAGGAAGGAGGAGCCCGGCGGGGCGTGTCTCGCGAGGGAGCGCAGCGCGCCTGGCGCGGCCCCCTAGGAAGTGGATTTGGCCGCTCCGGATCCAAGCCCGTTTCCAGGTTTTCTACCGGCCCGGCCCAGCGTGCTCCCGCCTGTCTCCGGCCCCCCCGCCGCCCGCCCCCTTCCCCTTAGTGCCGCCCGCTTGGCCAAGTTTGCTGAGCGTCGCCGCGCACGCCGGCCAGTCAATCAGCGGCAGAGCTGAGAAGGGCACAGCCGCGCGGCCGAGGGCAGAGTGAGTAGAGCCCAGTCAAGCCAGGCGAGCGGACCAGCGCCGGGCAGCCCGAGCAGCGCGCAGCGAGCGCCCGCCGCCACCGCCGCCCACACCCTCCGCGGTCCCCGCGGCGCCTGCCACCTTCCCCTCCTTCCTCGCGCCCCTGCCTCGCCGGCCGCCCGGCCAGCTTGCCCTGTTTGCTGCCCCGCGGTGCCCCGAGGTCACCGGCCTGCCCCTCTGCTACGCTGGGCCGCGCGCCGCCTCCACGCCCTCCTCCTTCTCCCCCAGCCAGGCGCCTGGCACCGGGGACCGTTGCCTGACGCGAGGCCCAGCTCCACTTTTCGCCCCGCGCCTCCTTCTCCTGCTCTCCTCCTCCTCCTCCACCAACTCCAACTCCTTTGCCCTCTAGCTCCACTTGCGAGCCCCCGACTCTGCGCTCCTCGGCCCGCTCTCGCAGCGCCGCTTCGTGTCCCACCCCGTCCCGTCCCAAAGGTGGGAGCGCGTCCGCCCCGGCCCGCACCATGGCACGGTTCGGCTTGCCCGCGCTTCTCTGCACCCTGGCCGTGCTCAGCGCCGCACTGCTGGCTGCTGAGCTCAAGTCGAAAAGTTGCTCGGAAGTGCGAAGTCTCTACGTGTCCAAAGGCTTCGACAAGAACGATGCCCCGCTCCACGAGATCAACGGTAGGTGGGAACCCCCGGGCGGCAGGTATAGAGGCGTAGGCACCCTGGGCAGAAGGCCGCAGACCCTCTCCCCCGCCCCACCACCCCGTGCGCTGGACACAGGTAGCCGACCGGCAGCAATGGGCAGTGGAGAGAGCGAGCAGAGCGAGCCAGCCCCAGCGCAGAGCGTTCCCCGCGGGCGCGCCCGGGGCGGCCCCCCAACCTCGCCTGCACTGGGAGCAGAGGGGCGCCGCGGAGTTGCCTAGTGCCACTCTAGAGCTCTGCTTCCATCCCTCCATCTCACCGCCCCTTGCAGTTTTCAAGGTCCCAGGAAGCCCCTGAAGACTCTGACCCTCAGAAGCGCATGTCACTGGTTCCCTAGCGTTTTCCGGGTTGAACTCCTTACTGGGCTCCCCGCTTTGTTGTGTGAGTTATGAGAGGCCGGGTAGGGGTGAGGGGGAACCTCCTAGAGCTTGCCAGATTCTGGGGGTCTCAAAACGTGAAACTTGAATTAATATTTCATTGATGTTCTTTTAAACCACCCCCCCTTCTACCACTGACACGAATTAGGAGTTTTAGTAGCTGCAAAGGCTTTAGAAGTCGCCTTTTAAAAGCAACCGACTCCTCCATTCTCTACCTCTCAAAATCCTGACTTTTGGAAACTCTCCTGCTTTCCGGAAGGTATTGCACTAGAAGGGTATTTTTCCTCCTTTCTTTTTTCTCGCCTCATTTTAAGGGTTAATTGCACATTCAATTACAGACCTTTGAAAGGACTGATTACAGGAAACCTGAATCTCAGTTTAGAGATGGTTATGCAAATGGGACGGCTTAGCCAGTGAAAAAGTTCACCAGATTTAGGCGCTGGGGGGGGTGCTTGGGGTATTTGTGAAAACCCTTCTGGGAGCGCTGGGGAGGCGGCGTCCCAGGGGGCGCCCTCTGTCCCTCCTCATTAGGCCTGCGGCGGTGCCCAGGCGGGTCCTCGGCGAGTAGCACTCACTAATTCACAGTGGGCCAACTGTTGCGCTCCACCCCGCGGGCCGGCAACGGCGCAGGTAGCCCTTTCCCCCTGGGGATTCCGAAAGAACCATGAATCTGGTTGGTTGGTGGCCAGCTTAACCCAAAGGGAGGAGTAAGAGATTCTAAGCCCCAGGGGCTAAGCCTCTATTCCCAACCTTTCGTGGAATGAGCGGAGCTCGCCTTTGCCTCTGCGGTGCTGGTCTCCGGGTGGGGCGGACAAGGGGCTGGTAGCCAGCAAAGGAAATACTGTAATTTCAACTAGGCATTTCCAATGGCTTAGGAAGACTTGGGGGGGGGTGTCATTTTTTGGAAGGGCTATTAATAACCTTGGAGATTAAGTGCAGTCATCAATTACGTATAAATTACTAAGGTAATTGAGGGAAGTTGCTGGGCACTTTCGGAGTGTAACTGGCATCTGTCTAGAAATAAAATCGAAGAAATTGCTGGAGCAGTCCAGGCGCCCACTGCACCTTGGCAGTTATCAAATAACTTGCACAATACTGATTAGAGACTGTTTGCCCTTCAGCTGCCTGTCTTTTTGGGAACTCAAGTATGTCCTCACAGTGGCACGATTTTATTGGTTGTAGAGTCCTGAAAAGCCCTCTTTCTTCCCCCTCTTCCTCCCGCCCCACCAGAAAAAGTGAAGTGAACCAGCAGCCGCCGAAGCTTGGGGGCTCCACAGGTCAGACCTAGTGTCTTTGTGCCCTGCACAGTTTGGGCCTGGGCACAGCGGAGATGATTGGCGTGAAGGTTACAGTTGTCATTCCCACATTTTGAAGGGCTAGATGCAGCTATGCACTTAATGGGAATGTGACAAGGTTTCATCTTCTGCTCATGCAAACAATATGTGCCTTTCAGATGGACTGGAGGCATTCAGGGAGTGGGTTGTGAAATCACCCTCCCCACTTTCTCCAACTTAGCTGTGTAGTCTCCTAGTGGCAGGGCACCTTCCCCAGCCAGCATCTCAGGGAAAAGGAAGCTTGAAGGGTGCTCAGGGACTCAGGGCTAGGTGTTTCCTTTGATTGTCATCATTCCCAGAAAACACCTGAGGTATATTTTTGCATAAATGTCTATCTGGATATTTCGCCTCTGGAACGATGGGAGAGTTATTAGTGACCAGCAGCAGGAAATGGAAGCTAATGTGCTCACACCCAAGACATTTTATTCTTTTTGTCTTGTCCTTCATCTCCCTCCCAGGGCTGCTGCTTTTATTTCCCCTTTTGAATGACCTACTGGACTGCATTCTCCTGAGGAACAAAGGAAGTGCCTTTTTAGCTGGAATCCTTGGAAGACCACCAAGGACTTTAGCTCATGCAGTGCAATTTCGCACCACTTTCAACAATAACAAAAATGCATGACTGAATGGCTCAAAAATGTGGAGTGTTAGAGGCATTCATTTGAGTCTAGGACACTGTCACAACACAGACAGACCCAAGTAAATACCTTTAGATGGCCAGTATAGAAACAGGCGTAATCTTTACCATCACCCTGGCCTCTCCAGATGCATATATTAGTCTTGTCTTCTCTGGGTTACACTCAGATGATTTTTGGTCATTTTAGGGGAGATAGTCAATATAGTGACTTGTATTCAGCCTAGGTCTGAATGAATTAATTGCCAGGCACTTTCCCTTGGGGGGAGGGTATATTTTTTTCCTTGGGGGGAGGGTTTATTTTTTTTTGCGCAAATATCCAGTATTGTTTTGTAGCCAAAGGGTGGCAAATTCTGGGTGCCTAGTCCATTGGCTTAGCCCAAGTTTAAGGTTTTATTCCCAATAGTCTTGCACTTGCGTTCTAGAGGTTTGAACAGGCTTTATGAATATTCCATGTTCTGAAAGAGTCTCATTCTTTATAGATCATAATTAACATGATCTCATATGCTCTCAAGGATGTCAGAGAGTAAGTACATCATGCTGCCAGGGCTTCCCACTGAGGTCCTGCATTGCCTATCTATCTGCTTGACCCCTGTACTTTTCAAATAATGGGGAGCCCAGATGCCACGATCAAAAAAAAAATCTTTAACACAAAGGGTATGTTTTTGTTCAGCTTTCAGCTGCCATATATTTTTGAGCCCCTACTATGTGCAGTGTCCTGTGCTTGGCAACGTGGAGGCAGCAAGAAGGGCAGGAGGGGCCTCTGCCACTAGGACCTTTCCTGGTAGTAGGGAGATAAGCCAGGCACACACATAACTGGAATACAACGCAATGTGTGAGTACCATAAGAGTGACACAGTGAAAAGAAGAGAGTGTCCAGGCAGTTCCAAGTGAGAAGAGATTTGGGGCTTTAATATTATAGAGTATTAACTAGGTAATGCAGTTCACAAGTAAAAACAAGAATACTAACGATAAGCTTAAAGATCTTAGTTTCATTGTACCTCCCTCCATAAAGACAGAGGATAAAAGTAAATGCAACAAATGGTATTTTATTACTAATCTGGTCTCTGCTGAAATTTTTTTTTATTGAGACAGAGTCTCACTCTGTTGTCCTGGCTATAGTACCATGGCATCAGCCTAGCTCACAGCAACCTCAAACTCCTGGGCTCAAGGGATCCTCCTGCCTCAGCCTCCCAAGTAGCTGAGACTACAGGTGTGTGCCACCATGCCTGGCTAATTTTTTTCTATATATTTGGTTTCTATTTTTAGTAGAGATGGGATCTCACTCTTGCTCAGGCTGGTTTTGAACTCCTGACCTTGAGCGATCCACCCACCTCAGCCTCCCAGAGTGCTAGGATTACAGGCGTGAGCCACTGAGCTGGGCCTGAAATTGTTTTTAAGAGTGTGGCAGTTGATGAGAAAAGTTCTTGAGCTTGTCCCTTTCACAGTGATATTGACCAATACGCAGGAGAACTTTGCTTGACCCCTGTACTTTTCAAATAATGGGGAGCCCAGATGCCACGATCAAAAAAAAAAAAACTTTAACATAAAGGGTACGTTTTTGTTCAGCTTTCAGCTGCCATATATTTTTGAGCCCCTACTGTGTGCAGTGTCCTGTGCTTGGCAACATGGAGGCAGTAAGAAGGGCAGGAGGGGCCTCTGCCACTAGGACCTTTCCTGGTAGTAGGGAGATAAGCCAGGCACACACATAACGGAATACAACGCAATGTGTGAGTACCATAAGAGTGACACAGTGAAAAGAAGGGAGTGCCCAGGCAGTTCCAAGTGAGAAGAGATTTGGGGCTTTAATATTATAGAGTATTAACTAGGTAATGCAGTTCACTAGTAAAAGCAAAAATACTAACGATAAGCTTAAAGATCTTAGTTTCATTGTACCTCCCTCCATAAAGATAGAAGATAAAAGTATATGCAACAAATGGCATTTTATTACTAATCTGATCTCTGCTGAAATTGTTAAGAGTGTGGCAGTTGATGAGAAAAGTTTTTGAGCTCCTCCTTTTCACAATGATATTGACCAATACCCAGGAGAACTTTGGTTGACCCCTGTACTTTTCAAATAATGGAGAGTTGTGGTTTTGGAGTTTTTGTTTCTTGTTTGCACCCACACCCACAAATGCACATGCACAGAGGATTCTGGGAATCACATAAACCATGTTAGAATTACATAGAAAAACGTGTGTGTGTATGTGTGTGTATTGGAGAGGTAGCAGTACTTTCCTTTCTAATACTGAGCTGATTATATATAAGACACACAGCCTGTCTCTTCAAGATTTGTATTCCCCCCCCCCCTGGTCTCCACCTTAAGTAAATGGGTAGGATTTTGCAATGAACTTTGTTCTGTTGGAATTATCAGTTTGGCTATGTGTCTCACTTGAGGAGAGGGTCTGATTAAGCCACAGGGCCTGTCACTGTAGAAATTGCCCTAAGTAGTTACAGAACTATGCCTTGGACATGCTCCAGAAAGAGCTTAGTAAAAGTTCTGGATTATGTGGCTCAATCTCTAGTTAGAACATAGAGATATAAAATGTTTGATTCAGCATAACTACTGTTTTCCTGTTTTGTTTGGTTCACATTGAGTTGCATGCAATTTCAGGATTAACTGGAGGCTAGACT